TAAGGCAAGATTTACCAGGGGCACATATTTACAAATAGGTAATTAAATCTGATAGGAATTTTCCTGAAAAGCTATACATTTTCCCTAAATTATGATATGGAAGAGTTGATTTAATGCATGCACAATTTATGTTTAATATATTTTAAAACTAAATTTTCTTATTTTTTGTATCCAGTCAATTGGTCATTAGATAAAATCTTGATCCTTTTATTTTAGGTACTTTCAAAATTATGTAATATTTATTAGTACAAATAACAATGTTCTGAGATGTGTATAGGTTCACAATAGCTGCTTATAGAGACTCTTGGTCCTTTAAAATCTAGATATATTTGGTTGGAATCTTTGTAATCATTTTGCTTATTAGAGGTCAAACTTTTCTTATGAAACATCCATTATAAGTAAAATTCTACTGTGCACTGTATCAATTGAGCTTTTTTTTTCAGTGAAGATTCTGCTAACACACTGCATTGACTTGGAAGTAAATTTTGTCCTCTTGTTGGATTCTTGGATTCTTTCTAACACACTCACAAACACACACACACACACACACACACACACACACATTACTGTTCCTGAGATTAACAGATTCTACTTAATATGTGATTGACAGAGTAGGATATAGAACTCATAAGTTCATCTAAAATATTTATCAACTGTTTACTTCAGACTTGTGTAAACTTTCCCAATTTAGTAAAATATTTTGTTATTTTCAATTTTAGATTTTTATTTTCTTCAACAATCTCATAAGCATATTGTGCAAAACTCAATGATTAGTGAACACTCAAAAAAACTGAGGATATCTTTATTTCACAATGAAAGTTTATATCATGCTGCAGAGTTAACTAATGATCATATAAGCACTTTTATGTCTTTTATAAAAATTATCACCAATTGCAATACTTTATTTAACTTGCTCTTACATTATATTCTAAAAAGCTAAGAAAAAACACATGTACGATATAGTTAAGACTCTCTTTAGTATAACAAGGAAAAAGTTTTAGCATTTTCAAAATAATAGTAACAGTAATAAAAAAAATTTCATATATAAACCAAGACATTCACTAATCTCTACTCAGGGTTTTAATATCTAAGACTTCCCTGTTCTATTAAATGAATGATCATCTTATAAAGAACAATTATCTGTTACACATGGGTATGATAAGAGACTGCAGGTTGCAACATATAGAATATCTAGTAGAAAAACACTGGTCACTTGCTGTTATTATTTTTTGTACTATAAAATAAATACAAATTAATATAAAATTAAAAGTTCCAAGTATTATCAGTATCATTGAGCTAGTAAGAACAAAAGTAAAACATTGTTGAAACTGAAAATGGGTTCAAAATAGGTTCAACTAAGGGAGCTATAGAACATAATTATTCCATCTCCAATTTGCATTTAAAGTGTTACGGGACACTCTTGATTGGACTTACAGGCTATACAATAGGCAAAAGTACACTGTGAAAGATCCTGTTGACCACATGGATTTCATCCTCAATGGTTTCAGCCAGTGAAATTTACTTTTCTTTTAAAATTGATATTGGCTTAGTCATTTATTGTGGGGATAAGTGCATGGAGTACTGCATATGTGGCATATGTAAAGGGCACCTGTGTGGCAAACCACTTACCCAGTAGGCACAGCCCTGGGCATAAGACTACATGTTGAGGTCCTAGCGCTTGCTCCACAGTCAGCTCCTTGATTGGTCGCTGCAAGGACAGTTGGCCAGAAATTGTATTGGTGGCTGCCTATAACCTGCTTAGCTACTGCCCGAGTATATGTAGATGGTAACTATGCAATAAAATCAGACCTGCTTCCAGCTTGGTCTCCAGAGGTCTTGATTTGTGACTCTGCATCCACACTCTCCTCTACCCTGTTCTGTGGATCTCCTCACTGGACGAGAGGGAGCACACACAATTTATAATTTTTGAAGACCAAGTTTTAGTGTGTTCCACATCATGAAGGTCTAAAAAACACAGTGATTATTCATAACTACTTAACCAAATATAGTTGTATGCCTTTTTATTTGAAAAAAAAACCACCATACTCTACCTTCAATTTACTTTTTGCCTACTCCAAAGGATATCACCTCTTTGCAACAATATGGGAATCAGTGGCTAAATCTGTTTCCTTGCCCTTTATTATCCTTATTTTACCTCGTTGAATTGGAAAATTCAAAATGCCTAGGCCAAATTTTCAACAATAAACAAATAAACAAAGAATTATTTTCCAAAAAGAATGACAACACAAGTGTGTGGTCACTGAAATATAATAGTTGATAAAAACTAAAACAGGTCAAATAAGAGAGCAGGGACATATTGAATTTTTTTTAAAAAATGCGACATCCCTTTCTAATTTTAATATGACATTTGTGGAGTATATATTGATGAGTCTCACTTCAACACCATCAGAAAGAGACAGAGAAGGGAGGATGACTGAACAGAGCAACCTTATTCATAATCACATCTTCTTTTTATTAGCCACCTGGTAGACTTTCCATTCACCCAAAATTTCTCCAGATTTCTCTCACTCCAAAGATATCAAAAATCGACCTTTCTCAAAAAAAATAATCCAACCAATTTTTTTTTCTCCACACTACCTTTACGTTTTCAATTCTATAAAACCATGGTATTAGCAACAAAATCTTTTCTCTATTAAGCTTCACACAGTTTTTAAAGTCAATAACATGTTATTAGTGGTGCTGATGATGTAACTCAGGACCTTGTGCATGCTAGAGTTATCATTGAGCTCTAAACCCACCCCATTTGAGATGATTTAAAATGTAGTTTCCTTAGAAGTTATCTCCACTTCAAATTGAAGTAGATTAAAGTTTACTATGCTTTATTCAAAGAAAAGTGCCAGCATAGAGAAGTTGAAACTGCAGAATGGTTAAAGCTTGAGGAATGGCAAATACAGTGTCTCATTGTTATATATGAATAATATTAATGAAAAACATTTGTTTGACAAAAACATCAACAATAAAAGTTCTTCCCTACATAAGTATCAATTTAAGCACTAAAGAAAAAATAATTTCTCCCCCATGTATGCAGCACAACGAAAGCAAAATTCCCCCATGTTCTAACCGTACAATGCAGATAAAACTAGAATACAATGGTATTGCATGATCCATTACAAAGTACACAATTGAAAAAGAAAAATGCCACTTTCATCCTAACATATCACCCTTAGAACAGGTTAAACGATAATCACTCTACAATAATCCAACTGGATTTAGCCTCCAGAGAAAAGCTAGAAAAGTTTTGACAGGAAGAAACTTCATTTTCCAGACTCCAGCACTAAGGTTGCAATAAGTGGTTCATTTCCAACTGAGCCAGAGATAAACTTGAGTACCAAGACCTGTCAGACATAAAATTTAAAGGACATTGTGGTAAGGGTTCAAGAGTATGTGCATAGGTTAATCTTAAAAACTGACCACCCACATAATAAGCTTCGTGTCCTTGAATAAGAACATTCTATCCCTCCATATGCAGAAAATGGTTCAACCCAGGGACAAAGAAAGAAATGGTATGGGAGCTTCCTTGAGTGGATAGAGACCCTCCCTCAATAATGTTATAATGAATATTCTTCCTGCAAAATCCCTCTGAATTCATATGCACCTTAGAAACTTGAACTTCTTACTATTTGAGTCAATTTCGAGAATAGCAGTGTGATAAATGGGGGCCTGTTTTCTTCTTGGTATCATGGAAACCAATATCCAGAGTAATATACTTTGACTATTGTTTCTTAAGATGCTTAAAGAAGGTAAGTCACCTCATATTAAGAATTGTCTCTAATTAGAGAGAAATATAAAAAAACAGAGCCTAGAAATAGAGACCAAAACAATCTATTTTACTTCAAGGAAGGAGAAAAAATTGAGGCTAGCATTCAATTTCCACTCAGATTCCTCAGGTTTTAGCTCCCTAAAATCACAGAAGCTAAGTTAACTCTGTCTGAAGAAATAACTTTCAAGTCTTGTTGAAACTGTGCCTGCACTTGACACATAAGAAAAAAGCTGCCTTAACAAGACAACAGGATTATTTCTATATGGAAAGGACTGAAGCATTTTATATTTACACCAAATCCTACCAATTCAAAAATTTTAATAGGAAAATGCATTAAAAAGGTAAAAATCTAAAATAAAAGATAATAGAATACCTGAGTATACTTTCGTTGCCAACATATTTTTCTTTCTTTTTAAATTACCTTCCTCTGATTTTTTTCAAGTGAATTTGTTGTTACCATTTTGTAGTGATGCATATAAATAAAACTAATAAAAATTATTTTCTAAAACCAACTTACTAAACAACAACCACTAGCATTTGGAATTGTCTTTACTACAAATCTGTCACTGGTACCCCAGAAAAAAATTTACCATTATTTGTAAAATGTTTAGGAATCCCATCTACTTTGGCTGTCACATTCATCCCCTTGCAGAGATTAAGTATTCCTTAAAATAAACTGTATGAAGAGAAATGTAAGAGTTGAAAGTTTCACACAAAAAAATTCAACATTAAAATGAGGCCAGTGGTATAGTAGCCATCTTTTATAGATACTTTTCTATCATTTATGCTAATAAATAAGGAAGGTTACAGAGAAAGGGAGAAAGAGAGGTGATTTAGTATTTGGCCGTATCACTGGGATGGAAAAATTGTAGCTAGAAAAACAAAATATCCTCTGAAGTTTCAGCATGGTGTCTAATCTCAGATGTTATTAGTCTGATTGTCTGAAGAGTATAAATCCAGCAGGAAGATGAAGACAGAACTTTGCTGAAATGTAAATCATGATGGCTAGTGTCTTCCATGTAAAAATACTGAAATATCTGCAAAATTCAGTTACAATATCTAACAACGGCTTTCATAAAAGTTCTGGAAGAAAACATGTCACTATAAAAGAAAAACATTTGAGTTAGTTGGGATGAGCATAAATGAACCTACCACAGTAGACAAGAGACTACCTGGGGTTATTTTTTGTTGTTGTTCGTGTTTTTTTGGCAGGCGGCGATCATGGATCCAGCTCCTGCTTCTTCTGCAGCTCCATTTCAGCTGCCTTTTGTACAGCTGCATCTACCAGCAAGTGGAAGCTGCTGAAATCCTCGTACTCCTCTGGCCACACAGATTCAGAAGAAAAGGACTCACTAGTGGAAATCTTGACCTTTTTCTTTGGCTGGGCATTTAGGATTAGCTTCTGGCTTGGGACAAACTCCGGATCTGTAAGCCTCTCTTCTGACTCCTGGCCTACTGGCAGCAGGGACTCAGGCAAGCATTGTACCTTGTCTGGAAGTTTGGCCCCTGACTTGACCTGCACAAAATTATCAGTGCTCTGCTGTTGGGCTTCATCGACGGCCTTGTCTTTAAGGTGGTTAGGGTCGTTTACATCCTGTTGAAGCATTTCCGGGAGAACGCGTCTGCGGGCATTTATGAACCAGTTTGAAATTTGAAGAAATGATAAATTAGTTTGCTCTGACAGCATTCGTTTCTCTGCCTCTGAAGGATAGGCCTTAAACCGGTGCTCATAGAGCCAGTCGCGGAGAATCTTCACGGACTCTGATGGCAGGTACCCTTTCCGTTGCCTCTTGCTCTCTGTTGAGGTTAGAACCTTGTCTGTACTACTGTTAGGTTTCCATGTGATTGAGGTTTCTTGGACCTGGCCTTGGATTTCCGATGGGCTATCCTCGGCGGCCTCCATGTTCTTGAGGACTGTGTTCACAATCTCTGGAAAGTCTGGAAAGGCTAAAGTAGGATTAATGTAGGTCTGGCAGATCCATAAGAAAAGGCATGAACAGTTTTCTAAAGGGAAGTCTCACCCGTTGCTTCCCAGGGAGATGAACGGAGTTGCTAACGCACAATCTACAGGCTCTGTGACGTCACATCCCCTAAACGCATTACGTGCACTGCCCCTCCCCTCCATTTCCTGGTTCACTCTCGTGCCACTGTTCGGTTTTTTTCCATAGTTTCCAATGCGCATGTTTTCACCTGAGGAGTTGGGAGCTCTTTGGAGTTGTATTTCTCTCCTCCAATTTTTGTTCTCTGAAGAAATCTGTTTTTCTAGTTAAGTCCATTGTTTTCTTTCATTTTGATTTTACTTTCCATGTTCAAAGACAATCTTAAGAATAATTTTAACTACACTTTTGCACCCTACTATAGTGATTTTTCTTCTCTATGACCTTGAAATCTGTGACTTTGTCATGACATCATTGTGGCTTTTGGGTCATGATAGCCAACAGAAATTAAGTAACCAAGAGAAATTGTTTTTGTTGTTAGAAACGTGGAGCACTATAGGTTTTTAGAAATAACTAATTGCAGACATTACAGATTGAATTGATTTAAATTTAACCCCCACAGGGAATCTTCAGTGACTACATCCCCAGAGCTTTTTTTCCATTTTTTTTTTCCTTTTGGTACTAGGGATTGAACCCAGGGGCGCTCAACCACTGAGCCACATCCACAGCTCCTTTTATTTTTTAGTTTGAGACAGGATCCCTAAGTTCCTGAGGCTGGCTTTGAATTTGTAAACCTCAGGCCTCATCTCCCTACTGCTGTGATTACATGTGTGCCACTGAGCCTAGATATCAAATTTTTGAGGCAGAATCTAAGTTAGTTGCCCAGACTGGCCTCAAACTTGCAATCTTCCTACTTCAGCCTACCACTTCAGCCTACCCAGTTGCTGAGATTATGTGCCTCTACCATTGCACCAAGACAAATATTTTCTTGATATTTCAAGTACATGGAACTCACCCCCCCATGTTAGATGAAGCTAATATGTAAATTGTGACTTGAAATAAGCCAAAATTAGTGGTGTGGTTACTGAGCTCTATTACATTTGAAAATAAAAGTTGTTAAGGAGGGCACATTTTTTTCCTTCAAATTTAAATTATCTAGATAATTATTACCAGCTATTGTACATATTGAAACAAATTGAAGAAACATGTAGGATCCAGCAATAAACTTCAGTATTGGAAGGACTGGTGGTATGTGTAATGTATATGAAACTTGAAATAAACCAACAAACAAGGATGAAATACAAGATAATTATTTCCCAACCAGACTTATAGATCTTATAGTTTCTTACTGACTTTATTCAATTTAAGAAGCAAATGATCTCCTTTGAACTTAAAATTTGTCGTAGCATTAATGTTAAGGAAATGTTTTCCAATTTTTAAATAAATCTTGCATGACCTGGTGTTAAAATCTCATGAAGTAGGGCCAAAAAATGTGTCAGATTCACTTATAAAATCATAAATTATTACTCAATAAAATCTTGATTGGGGCTAGGGTTACAACTCAGTGGTAGAGCACTTGTAAGGCACTGGGTTTGATACTTAGCACCTCATAGAAATAAATATATAAATAAAATAAAGGTATAGTGTCAATCTACAACTAAAAAAGAATATTAAAGGTGACTCAAGAAAAATAAAACATGTGAACAAGTGGATTTCAATCCAAGAAAGCAAATATAAGATCAGAAAAAAAAAAAATATATATATATATATAGAGAGAGAGAGAGAATATACACACACAGTTTTCAGATTAATTGCTAAAAATGTTTTATCTTGATGGAAGTTAATGATACAAAATGAATTTCTTTTTTTTTTAGAGAGAGAGGGAGAGAGAATTTTAATATTTATCTTTTAGTTTTTGGCAGACACAACATCTTTGTTTGCATGTGGTGCTGAGGATCGAACCTGGGCTGCACGCATGCCAGGCGAGCGTGCTACCGCTTGAGCCACATCCCTAGCCCAAAATGAATTTCTGATAAACATGTCATATGAAATCAAGCATAGAAAGATGTTTTCTCCACATAACAGTTTGCACAAAGACTTAAGCTCTCTCATACATAGCTTTGTACTTAATAGTAAAGAAAATGTTCTTTCAGTTTCATGAGCAAGGCAAACATGTTTCATTTCACTACTATAATATTACTTAGAAGTTTGAACCAATAGAATCAATAAAAAGTAAATGCATTATATATAAAAAGGAGACAATATTATTGGATGATGGCATGATTTGCCACATAGAAAATATTGAAAAATCAGTTCAGAAACTGCTAGAAATAATAACGTTTAAGTGAGGTGGCCAGTTAACAAATAAAAGATGAAACAATAACATATACCATCAAACTTATTTAGAAAATACATTGTAAACATTATGTAGTACATAATCATAAGTAAGAATAAAGATAAGAAAACTTAGGTCTAAAAGTAGTTATTACTTTCTAGTCCTATTGAAAGACATATATAGACTTCTATTAAAGATGATAAAATGAAAGCTGGGTGTGGTAGCACATGCCTGTAATACAGAGAGGCTTGGGAGGCAGAGGCAGATGGATTGCAAGTTCAAGGCCAGACTCAGCAACATAGGGAGGCCCAGTCTCAAAATAAAAAGAGCTGGGAATATGGCTCAGTGTTTGAGCGCCCCTGGGTTTAATCCTTGGTACAAAAAAAAAAAAAAGAGAGAGAGAGAGAGAGACAGAAATTAATAGATGTTAGCATTTATTTTCTTCTTGAATAGGAAAAGGAAATATCACTGTTTTAATTTAATTATCTTTATTTTTATATTTTTATTGTTGTTGTTATTATTATTTTGGTACCGGGATTGAACACAGGGGCACTTAACCACTGAGCCACTTCCCAAGCTCTTTTTTTAATTTTTAAATTTTGAATCAAGGTCTTACTTGTTGAGAGCCACAGCGGCCCCAGCAACTTCTAGCTGATTGGCTCCTCTGCGGTGATGCTCATTGAGCTGTTTCACTGCCCTTTCAGACTGCCAGCTGATGATTGGCTCACAGCAGCCCCAGCAACTTCTAGCTGATTGGCTCCTCTGCGGTGAGGCTCATTGGGCTGTTTCCCCGCTCTTTCAGACTACGGAGCTGCTCATTGGGGGACTTTTTTTGGCTCTGCCCATGCGACCCAGCCAATCGGCCTCAAGAGCAGGAGGAGTGGGGGAGGTTGAGAGGCTTGTGGGAAGCCAGTGGTGGCAGTTGGGTTCTGAAGGTTTTTCCTGAGGAGCTGTTTTGTTTGGTGTGTGTGGTTCTAAAAATAAAGTCTGTTTCTTTTGACAAGTGGCTCCTGAATTGTGCCCAGACAGACTGCGGCATTACTAAATTGCTGAGGTTGGCTTTGAACTTGCAATCCTCCTGTCTCAGCCTCCTGATCACCTAGGATTACAGGCACGTGCCATTGTGCCCCCACTCTTTACAATTATATTTGAATATTTTACCTATAAAATACTTCTACTCTGAACCTACTTTTATCTTCTGCCTTGTTGAAATTTTAAAAAATGTTTCTAAACTTTAGTTGGAGGAATAAATATGTGATATAATGTGGCATTTTTGAAAGAGCAAACTGAAGTAAAAACATTTCTCTTACTAGATATTATATTTGTAAGTAGCAAGTCATTAAAATGACATCATAAATATCATAAACATATATGCATAAACTGGTTAATGAAACAGAATACAAGAACAACCTCATGGACTTTATGGGACTGTGAATGATAGTTAATCTTTTCAATTTCACTGATGAAGAATGCTTCTTCACCCCTGAAAATAAAGAATATTGCTGAAAACACCATAAACCTGGAAAGTTTACTTTGGTTCACTTACAATTTGCAGAAAATTGTAGGACTATAAAGGAAACTATCATTAATTTCACTTTAGTGAAAATGTGGTAGTGTTAGAAAGCATAAGGAATACTGACAAATTCATTTAATATACTTAGGAAGGATGAAGATGGGAGTGTTATGTTTATATAAAAAATGATAAGTAAGGTAAAGTGAATAGACATTTTAAAAAGAAGGAATCCTTTTGTTTTTACAATAAGTATGAAAGTATTAGGAATTTTATCTCCTATGTAATACTATTATGAATTCCCATGAAATTATATATGTGTTTGTGTAAATATGGTTCTTATGATTCACACAAAAATAATTGCATAAAAATCATTATAAGATTAAAAACTGTATAATGTAGCTATATAAATGTTAGAAATCTCTGTATAAAAGCAACGTTGAAACAGACAAAAACATTTATAACCATTCTAAAAAAAGGCAAATGATTAAAATATATTATTGGTAATATATATGACATGTAATACATAAATAAATTTATTATTGCCCTATCCCCTACAAATCAATAAAGATCTAGATTGTACTAATAGAAAAGTGGGCAAAAATTCTGGACAATTTATTAAAAAAATACAAATGACTGACCTAAAAATTTAATTACTTTTTATAAATAATCAATGACATGCATATAAAAGGAAACTGGGTATGCTTTTCTCATAGCTTATTGGTTAATACTAAATAGATTCTAAAAAACAATATTTTTGAGAGTCTGTTAAAATATGTATATCAATGCACTTTTAAAAAAAAATCCTTATTTTATTTATATATTTTTATATAGTGGATAATTGAATGCAGTGCCTCACAAGTGTGTGAGGCAAGCGCTTTACCACTGAGTCACAACCCCAACTGCTCAATGCATTTTTGGTGGCATTATAAAATAGTATATCCTTTTAGAGCTGTTATTTAAGAATGAGTCAAAGAAAAATAAAGTGTACTGTTCAAACAAGGAATGTTTATGGAGTTGATTATGTGGAAAATATTTGATAAAATTATAAACACATAATATACAAAATTGTCTTCACATAGTTTATTATTATTAAATTAAAACAGATTATGGGTTTGATA